ACCAACAAGAACACAGTACACAGTAACAGTATAAGGCGCGCCATCGATCAGTCAGGTCCTCATCTAAGATAAGGTTTGTAGGGAAATCTAGTGAACGCTGCAGCCAAGGCAGAAGGTAAGCCAACAATGACTTAAGTCTGACAATGTGATCAAGTATAAATAGTAAGGATATTGATTGTGATTTGCAATACATCTCGTTATAGCGCTACTTGTTACGCTTTCGAGTCTAGTTTTGTGAGCGGGGTAGGGAGGAGTGCGAGGGGTGACTTTTGATTCAAAAAAGTTATAGAGTGGAATCCCACTTACGGCCAACCGCTTAATACGGCCACCCCGTTATTGCGGTCAGCTCTTTTGGGTCCCGACGAAATACCCATACATTTACTGTAAAATGTACCTGCTTAATACGGCCACCCGTTAATACGGCCAACGGCCACTTTTGTGGCCAGATTGACAAACTTCCATATTTTTTAACCCCGTGTTACGGACAGGACAAATAGGTTACAGTTTAGATCTTAGTGTAAATACTGTAAAGTTGTTGCTGMAAAATCTGTSATTCTTTTATTCATTCGGTTAACATTCTACAATAATGCTTTTTGTAGAATCAGAATCAACACAACAATAACTTCAAACAGAGAAACACGTACAGCGCGATGCGCTAAAGTATGTCCGCGTTTATTTTATGGCGGTACAGTATTAAAACAAGCCATGCCGATAGCCTGTCTGGGGTGATGTCCAGGCTCGAGTCAGTATGACAAAGGAAGCTTCATTCGTCTGTACAGAGCAAAGTCACTACCTATTTTAAAAAGTAGTTGTTACTGTACTCAGGTTTCTCTGTTCTACTGTTATATCTACAGTCCTGTACTACTGTATAATTTAAAGTTTTAAAGTACTACTAAAGTTGAGTTATAAATGAGCTCCAATAGTATCAGAAGTTTTAGAAACATTATTTAAAAATACAATATACATTATTGCACTTTGTTAAGTAGTTTCGTACTGATTGATAAAACACGTTTTTAACATATTTTTTGACAGCCCACTTAATACGGCCACCCCGTTAAAACGGCCACTTTTGAATGTCCCTTCGGTGACCGGATTAACGGGGTTCCACTGTATTTATATCAAAAAATCACAAAAAAATATTTAAAAGTTTGACAATCAATTCAAGATTTGTTTAATATTTACAAAATTTCTTTATACCATGAAATTTGTCTTTTGTTCTTTATTCATCATTGCTGTTTTATATTTTACTAAAATTTGAACTAAGGTCAAATAGTATTCA